GAAAGGCAGCAAGGGTGGTCAGGATAGTCAGAGACACAAGCAGTTGTCATACAGGAAAGAAGCCACCACTGTGATGGGGGATAGTGGCTCCTGGTTAAATGCGTATGGCCCCAGGAAGCAGGGGAGTAAGGAACATGTGCTAACCCCTTAGCCAGGATATCGTCCTGCTTTGGAAGACTTCTCCCAAAAGAGCCCAGAACCTCAGGCCAATGCTGTTGAGCTCTAGCCTTCGTGTGCCAAGTGCTGGGGGAATCTGTGTCGCAAGCAAGGATTATGGCAGCTCAGGCATGCGGAGGAGCTCAGCCATAAAGTACCCCGCTTGGTCTTGGGGGACCCGGGAAGGTGGTTTGATGGCATGTCACTTTAAGCTTGCACAAGGGCGCAGATGGACTCTGCCCAGCAGCTGGAGAGAGGAGCCACTTTCCATGCCCTTCCTGAACCTCCTTCTCTATCAAGTTGACAGTATTTGACTCCTGTCCCCAGCTCTCACCCCTGCTGGCTGGAGGAGGTTCCAAAGGCCTGGCCCTTCGAGCCACAGAGCCAGGCCCCAGACAGGTGCAGGTAAGGTGTCCCGGTTGGAGTCAGGAGCTGGATGGGGAGCCCAAGTTGAAAGTTAGCGGAGGGCACCTGGGTGGCTCAGTGGGTTGTTAAGCGTCTGCCTTCGGCTCGGGTCATGATCCCAGGGTCCTGGGATCGAGCCCCGCATCGGGCTCTCTGCTCCGCGGGGAGCCTGCTTCCTCCTCTCTCTCTGCCTGCCTCTCTGCCTACTTGTGATCTCTGTCTGTCAAATAAATAAATAAAATTAAAAAAAAAAAAAATATATATATATATATATATATATTCAAGAAGAGAAATTAAAGATATATATATCAATCAAGTAATATACCATGTTATAGAATTGGAAGTCTCATATTGCTGAGATTATGGGGGTAAGTAAATGGAACACATGCTTAACTGCAATCCCAATCAAAATCCCAGGAAGATTATTTTTTGTAGAAATTGATTGGAAAACAAGGGCACCACTGAAATTCAGTGGGAAAGACAGTCTTGTCAATAAGTGGGACTAGAGGGGCGCCTGGGTGGCTCAGTGGGTTAAAACCTCTGCCTTCAGCTCAGGTCATGATCCCAGGGACCTGGGATCAAGCCCCGCATCGGGCTCTCTGCTCGGCAGGGAGCCTGCTTCCGCCTCTCTCTCTGCCTGCCTCTCTGCCTACTTGTGATCTCTGTCTGTCAAATAAATAAATAAAAT